TTCTTACAAAATATTTCTTGTCTGTCATGTGTCAAAGATTATTTGTGGATGTTGTTTCTTTCAAAATATTTCTTGTCTGTCATGTGTCAAAGATTATTTGTGGATGTTGTTTCTTTCAAAATATTTCTTGTCTCTCATGTGTCAAAGATTATTTGTGGATGTTGTTTCTTTCAAAATATTTCTTGTCTGTCATGTGTCAAAGATTATTTGTGGATGTTGTTTCTTTCAAAATATTTCTTGTCTGTCATGTGTCAAAGATTATTTGTGGATGTTGTTTCTTTCAAAATATTTCTTGTCTGTCATGTGTCAAAGATTATTTGTGGATGTTGTTTCTTTCAAAATATTTCTTGTCTGTCATGTGTCAAAAATTATTTGTGGATTTTCAAAAGCTATTTTATTTCTTTCATAAACTTCCTAATTCATAAAAGATTGTTTACGGTAACAATACAATTTAAATTTACGTGCACACACACACACAAATACTTAACTTAATCGTATTTCTGACGTATATCAACGTTGTTTCATTGTTTGAATACTAAATTGGGGAATATTGTTGTTATTGAATAAGGTTATTGTTGTTGAAACATGGAACGAAAGGTTACAAGCAAGCTATTAAAAGAACAAATATGTGTATTAAAATTATTAAAAGGAGTTTAAACTTTACACGTTCATTATTACCAAACGTTCATTATGCTGAAATATCACATTGTTTACTGTACGAAAAGGTCAAAGACAATCTTAAGTCACTTAAATTCTCTCCGAGAAATTCTCAACTATTTCGAACATAATGAGCGATGAAGAACCAACAATTGAATTTGTTAAGAAGTTTCATTTATTTGCGCCGATTTTCTATTGAACAGTTCTTTATGAAAGAACAAAAAGATGTTCACTCTTTTAAAGCATCAGCGTTCCAACACGAGGCAAATCCTTTGTTCCAACCCTATTGTGTGCTGTAAACAGGTGTTATTGAAGACTAGAAAGGATATTGTGGTTTTAAATTAGTCCTTATAGAAGAAAGTATAAGTTATGCAAACACTCGTTTTGTCCTTGTTTCCACCAAATTATCATTAACGTTAGTTCATTCTGTTGTATTTCTGTTCTACGTTAATAACGTACGTACTTATTTCCATTAGAATTTTTTGTTATTCTATCACAATTATAGATTAATATCATCATTTATATGTTTAATACAATTATGCATAGATAAGTCTCAAAGAAAAACATTTCTTTATGAGGTAAACTATTTTAAAAAAGACGGAATGGGTACAAAATTTTCAGGACACTACGTTACAACAAACGTAAATAACTAATAAACTGGTTGACAAGAAATGTAAATATATCTAAAGTTAATATTATTTTCAACTATTATAGCAGTAAAGTACAAAATAATAGAAAAACACAGCTTGGTAGTTATTCTGGGAGTAGAAACAATGTCTGACAATTGTTGTGAGAGATGCCGTAGTACAAACAATGAAAAAAAGTGTTCACAATTGGTAAAACACACGCCTAAAACAAAACTTTATTGTTATTTGCAACGTTTCGGGCAGAAGCCCTTCGTCAGGCGGTTTAAACCGTATTACATGGAAAAAGGCTTAGACAGAATCGCTGAAAGGCTCACCAGTGTTTGGCAATTAATACTTTCGTTTTTACTTTACTTGCTGATTACATGTATTATTTTATTATTTTTTTTTACAGTAAGGAAGAATATTTTTGAAACAGGTACGACGTTTCTATCACCGGCGCGATCATTCTCAAGTACACTGTAAAAACTGTATATCGAAATAAAATAATGTTTAACAATGATTCTGGGAGTAAAGTATAACAAACAACAGTAGAACCGACGCTTGACAATTGTGGCAGATGTAGTAATACAATCTATTTTTGGCAATGTTTCTGGGAATAAAACAAACATAGTAAACAACAGTAGAACCAACGCTTGACAATTGTGGCAGATGTAGGGGGTGAAGCTGGGAGGGGGGGGTGAATTATAATTCAAATTCGACAAAATGGAAAATACTGTACTTCGGAAGGATTGCACAGGGAAAATTCCCCCTGTACGTCCCCTGAATTCAACACTATTTGGAGGATCATAAACCTCATATTCAATGTAAATTTATCAAATTATATCTGTAATAAGACATTGCCAATAGGCATATTATATTTTATACACTACATTCCTTATCTAGTCCCTTAGGGATTTTCATAAATTAAAAGAGTGTATAATTAATAGTAACGTTAGGTAAAAGCTCTGGTTAATACGTTCTTGCCGCATTGTGAAGCCACAGAGGATGACTTGTATCCGGGGGCGATTTAATTAGCTATATACAAATAGTAAACAATGTTAGGTACAGAAGCGTACTTTGTCACAGCTCTGTTTAATACGTTCTTGATGCATTGTGAAGCCACAGAGGATGACTTGTATCCGGGGACGATTTAGTTAGCTATATACAAATAGTAAACAATGTTCGGTACAGAAGCGTACTTTGTCACAGCTCTGTTTAATACGTTCTTGATGCGATTGTGAAGCCACAGAGGATGACTCGTATCCGGGGACGATTTATTTAGCTATATACACATAATAAACAATGTTAGGTAAAGAAGCATACTTTGTCACAGCTCTGTTTAATACGTTCTTGATGCATTGT